TCTTGATGAGGGAATTCTTCTGGGATGGATGGTGGTGGGAATCTGGTTTTAAGTAAGCATCCGTATGGGTAGCTTTCCTGTAGACAGAGTGGCTCATTGAGCCATCAGGTCTCCTTTTAATTAGGACATCCAAAAAGGGTAGCTTGCCATCTTTTTCGACTTCCATGGTAAATCTGATGGCTGGGTGTATGGAATTGATGTGGTCGAGGAATTGGTCTAGACTCTAGAGCAAGCCGGCCATGTGGCCAGATGACAAAAGTGTCATCCACGTACCTCTTCCATAAGGTCGGGCATAGAGTGGCAGTCTGGATGGCGTCAGTCTCAAATTCTTCCATGAAAACGTTGGCTACAACCGGAGATAGGGGGGAGTCCATTGGGGTGCCCTCAGTTTGTTTGTAGAAAGATCCATTCCAGGTGAAGTATGTGTTGGTTAAGCAGTGTCTCACCAGGGGGGGTACATCAGTATGCAAGTTTTCAATGATTGCGATGGTGTCAGGAACTTTGGTGAATAAGGAAACCACATCAAAACTGACAAGCAGGTCGTCTGGGGACAGCGAAATACCCTTGATTGTCGATACCAGGTGAGTAGAGTTTAGTACCGCAGAGGTGGTTTTCCAGTAAAAGGCTGCAGGATTTCAGACAGAAAACGAGCCAGTTTGTAGGTGGGGGAGTTGATAGCAGAGACGATGGGACGAAGGGGTGTATCTTCTTTATGTATCTTTGGAAGGCCATATAATCTTGGTGGCCTGGCCGCAAAAGGTTTCAACGATAACTGTTTGGTTTGATCAATTAATGCTGTTGAATCAGAAATGATTTTGTTGGTTTTAGTGACGAGGCTGTTGGTGGGGTCTCTTCTTTTTTTAATTATTTTATTTCCATTCTACGTGACTTTACCGAAAGAACCAAGAAGATCATTAAAACTATTCAACTAAAATAAAAATGTACCAGGTAAGGCCCACTGAGCTATATAGCTTTTTTTCAGAAGCGACCTGGCCACAAATTATAGCTCAACCAGTGGCTTATCATCGTGTAGAAGTTTATTGCAGCCAAATACTCTAAAACGCGTGTTTTTAAATATGGAGAGGAGAAACCGGAGAGCCCAAAGAATAATCCACGAGATCACAGGGAGAAAAACACGCAAACTCCAAATATATAGCAGGCGTCAAGTGATCTGGATCGAACTCACGACCTCCTGTATACCAGGTGAGGTAGTTAACATCTCACCACTGTGTTACCACAATGAAAAGAGGATTTAGTCACTCATGATGATGGATAGTACATTGGTCAGGACCCATAGCTTACACAGAGGGCCCTTGCCTCGATAAACTTCTGGCAGTTTGCACGATCCCCAATCACTTCCAATCCCAGCCTGTGGTCACCGCAGCCACCGTCATCCTTCCGGGCAAATAAAATGCCAACCAATTTGTGACAATTTACCACGTAGAAGGCTTTCGCGACCAATACCATCCATAATAGAGTTTTTGTTGGCTTAGATCGCGTAAATATGTGTAATTTCACCTGCCACCACCCGACACAGCCAATTGGTAAGGTAATTGGTAAGGTGTGGCGGGTGGTGGCGGGTTTAACGAAACATCTATATATTTACGCGATCTAACCCAACAAAAACCTGGATTATGAATTTGTGGCAAGCCGTCGGCGGATGTCGTACAGGGAAACACATCCCCCACCCCCGCCAGAGGAATGTGGAGTTTCCACCACTGGTTCGGGGATGTAACTCAACACTTGGCGTGTGCGTACGGGCGTGTGGACTCTACTCTGGCACTCTCTACGCCGCAATACAATACGAGCGAATGATAGAAATATATACATACGGTACTGTGCACAACACTGGAAACAACATCAACTGCATAGTCATTTATTGGGCGTTAGCATTCACAGTAAAGGGTGATTGTTTATTCGCGATGTTCACTTTTTTATTGGAACTTAAAATAAGTTCGGAGTCTTTTTTTGATCATATAACATGTATAAAACTCTTTTTCTAGACATATATAAAACATATACGCAAATCCTCTATATAAAATGCATTTATAACACGGTAAATGATGTACATTTGAAAAATTCTATCCAGTCAGAGACAGTTATAATCAACAATGAGCTATACATACTCTTTGGTTCTTTCGGTAAAGTCACGTAGGTAGAAAAATAATAGATCGCGACGTTTCGATCGCAACACAAGCAATCGTCATCATGTGGGACAACCACAGCAAGAACAAACTGCTGAAGTAGGGAGTGATCTGCCGTGGCACGAGGTTATATAGTAGGCCTCGGCAGTAGGGGGGGGGAGAGAGGAGGTGGGGGAGAGAGGGGGCGGGGCAGAAAGTGGACCCCGCAGCAGCACCTGGGTCACTGGAGTGAAGTGGACCACCGTGGGAACACCTGGGGTCATTGGGGTAAAGTGGACCACCGTGGGAACACCTGGGGTCACTGGGGTAAAGTGGACCACTGTGGGAACAGCACCTGGGTCACTGAAGTAAAGTGGACCACCGTGACAGCACCTGGGTCACTGGAGTAAAGTGGACCACCACGGCAGCACCTGGGTCACTGAAGTAAAGTGGACCACGACTGCAGCACCTGGGTCACTGAAGTAAAGTGGACCACGACTGCAGCACCTGGGTCACTGGAGTAAAGTGGACCACCACGGCAGCACCTGGGTCACTGGAGTAAAGTGGACCACCGTGGCAGCACCTGGGTCACTGAAATAAAGTGGACCACCGTGGGAACAGCACCTCGGTCACTGGAGTAAAGTGGACCACCACGGCAGCACCTGGGTCACTGAAGTAAAGTGGACCACGACTGCAGCACCTGGGTCACTGGGGTAAAGTGGACCACCGTGGGAACACCTGGGTCACTGAAGTAAAGTGGACCACCGTTACAGCACCTGGGTCACTGGAGTAAAGTGGACCACCACGGCAGCACCTGGGTCACTGGGGTAAAGTGGACCACCGTCGCAACACCTGGGTCACTGAAGTCAAGTGGACCACCACGGCAGCACCTGGGTCACTGGGGTAAAGTGGACCACCGTGGCAACACCTGGGTCACTGAAGTCAAGTGGACCACCACCGTGGGAACAGCACCTGGGTCACTGGAGTAAAGTGGACCACCGTGACAGCACCTGGGTCACTGAAGTAAAATGGACCACCGTGGGAACAGCACCTGGGTCACTGAAGTATAGTGGACCACCACGGCAGCACCTGGGTCACTGGAGTAAAGTGGACCACCACGGCAGCACCTGCGTCACTGGAGTAAAGTGGACCACCACGGCAGCACCTGGGTCACTGGAATAAAGTGGACCACCATGTCAGCACCTGGGTCACTGGAGTAAAGTGGACCACCACGGCAGCACCTGGGTAACTGAAGTAAAGTGGACCACCGTGACAGCACCTGGGTCACTGAAGTAAAGTGGACCACCGTGACAGCACCTGAATCACTGAAGTAAAGTGGACCACCGTGACAGCACCTGGGTCACTGTAGTAAAGTGGACCACCACGGCAGCACCTGGGTCACTGAAGTAAAGTGGACCACCGTGACAGCACCTGGGTCACTGTAGTAAAGTGGACCACCGTGGGAACACCTGGGTCACTGGAGTAAAGTGGACCACCATGTCAGCACCTGGGTCACTGGAGTAAAGTGGACCACCGTGGGAACACCTGGGTCACTGGAGTAAAGTGGACCACCATGACAGCACCTGGGTCACTGAAGTAAAGTGGACCACCACGACAGCACCTGGGTCACTGGAGCAAAGTGGACCACCGTGACAGCACCTGGGTCACTGGAGTAAAGTGGACCACCGTGGCAGCACCTGGGTCACTGTAGTAAAGTGGACCACCGTGGGAACAGCACCTGGGTCACTGAAGTAAAGTGGACCACCACGGCAGCACCTGGGTCACTGTAGTAAAGTGGACCACCGTGGGAACAGCACCTGGGTCACTGGAGTAAAGTGGACCACCTTGGCAGCACCTGGGTCACTGAAGTAAAGTGGACCACCGTGACAGCACCTGGGTCACTGGAGTAAAGTGGACCACCGTGACAGCACCTGGGTCACTGGAGTAAAGTGGACCACCGTGACAGCACCTGGGTCACTGGGGTAAAGTGGACCACCACAGCGGTAGCCCCGGGTCACTGGAGTAAAGTGGACCACCGTGACAGCACCTGGGTAACTGTAGTAAAGTGGACCACCACGACGACAGCACCTGGGTCACTGAAGTAAAGTGGACCACCACGGCAACACCTGGGTCATTGGAGTAAAGTGGACCACCGTGGGAACAGCATCTGGGTCACTGGAGTAAAGTGGACCACCGTGACAGCACCTGGGTCTCTGTAGTAAAGTGGACCACCGTGACAGCACCTGGGTCACTGGAGTAAAGTGGACCACCACCACCGTGGCAGCACGTGGAGAGATCGGCTGCAGCAGATGTTTTGGCGAGTCCCCTGAAATTTTTTGCATTATTTTTGTTTTCAACTAATTACTATTCAATCGCTTTAATAGTTTTGTTCTTCATTATTATTTTTGTATTGCGAAAAGCGATGTAGCTGTATATTCGTTCATATTCGGAATAGAGTTGGAATGACTGTTTGAAACAAATCCCATTTTTTTGCATTAAATTCACGAGTGAAAAAAACATTATTTTATTACAAATCGAGAGATTCATGGACTGTAAAAAAACACTCGGTTTCACAGCACACGGAGTTGGTGAAGGCTGCTAGATGGATGTGATCTGCCGTATAGGTGACATTTCTCAGTAAAAAAATATTTGTCATGGAGTCCTCTACTTGCGAACATTCGACTTACGTTCATATATAGGAAAAACCTGTCCGCATGTCCAGTTGTCTGTTCGGACCGAGAGTCGTAAGTTCAACAGATGCGCAATAGATGGCGGTGGTGGCATCTACATCTGCAGAACATGAAGAACCAGTGGCATCTACATTTGCAGAACATGAAGAACTGGTGGCATCTACATCTACAGGAGATTATACAACTTTTAAAGCCATTCCCCGTGTTTAGTGTACATGCCGTACAACGTGTTTGGAATCGACGGGAGTAAAGTTGGACTTGCGAACAAATCGATTTACGACCAGACCTCTGAAACCTAACTCGTTGGCAAGTAGAGGAGTCCCTGCACACGATACAAATCCATGCTGCCACGGTATAATGTTTAGCACCGCTGCGCTTGCAATCCAGGGGTTGACAGGTTCCATTTCCCGGCACGGCAGTTGAAATGGTGTGGGACGTTGCTTAAATGCCGCTCGCCGCCTCCGTCCACCCAGCGTTACGAACGGGTTCGCCGCGGTCATTCGATCGCCAGATCGCGTGCGGCGCACTACAACGTGGGTACCACCACCGCCGTCGCCGCCACCAAGACCTCTTCCAGAGACGCCTGGCCAGTGAGGAAGAGCAGGCCAAAAAAAATACCGTCCAGAAAGAGGGGGGGGAACTCAAAAGAAGCCCTCTGGCGAAAGGCCCTTTCCTCCAGCAAGTGGCGTAAGTGAGCAATTGCAGGGCTGAGCCTTTACCTTTTATTATGAACCGTTGAAGCCGACTTGCTTGCCCTCCTTCTCAGTGGAGCGCTGGGCAGTGGTTCAACACTGCTCAGTCAGTGGTGGTTCGAGTAAAAAGTCACCTGTGTCGTGAGTTTGGTGATAAACCGTTTGTTCTCCTCCAATGGTTACTCTGGTTTTTTGACCATTCTGTCTTCTCTCGCTTGCGTTGATGGATTGGCTCAGGGCAGCGCGAGACGTCCTTAGGGTGTACTGTGCACAACACAGACCAGTAATGAGTACATACGTGACTCGGGTTAATTTTCAAATTTTGCAACGCCCACCAAATTCCTTAGATTCGGAGGCGTGAGAAACCACGGACCAGAATCAGAGCCTTTATTCATCCTAGAGAAAATCCAATGAGCTATGAAGCTCTTTTTTGACAGATGTCCAATTGGGGTGGGTCACACAGTTACAACAACAAACAATACGAAAAACGATTGGAGCGCAAAGTATAGAAAAGCTAGGCAAATCACTAAACGTAAAGTGTATAAGTTAAAATTGCACAGGTACATCAATAATCAGGCTTGGGCAAGGCAGCAAAACAACAGCAAAAACAGTCCCAGACCACACCAAGACCATGGCACAGTCCCACAACAAAAGACGGCCAGAACCAACAATTTCCCAATCCCTGTGGTCCTGTGTTGGGGGTGTATTCATCGTAGATTACTCCGCACGGTCCGCTGCACAGAGGTAAAGTTCCTGCAGCATCATTTTAACCGGGCAGGCCATTGACGTCGATAGAAAACACGTGGCCGTGACCTTTCTGCCCACAAAAGTCATGATGCCCAGTTTGAGCAGTCCCTGGGTAAATAATTGTAATAATAATGATGATGGAATAACACATCGTACGTACCCACAGTCTGGAGACGATGCCGATCAGCAAGACATTGAACAAGAGGCTGGCGACCAGTGTCACCATCGGGGCGTAAATTCCCACCGAGGATTTGCTTTCTGAAGATGATGCTTCATTCCCTGCAAGACGGACGACAACATCATTTCTTATCTTGAGTGGTGGAGGAGGGGGGGGGGGTACTCACACTTTACCCCACCTATTAAAAGAGCATTGTCGTTCAACGTCATTCTTCCCAAATGGACGACGTGATTGCCGCGGGACCTCGTATCGTAACGATCATTTGCATCGCGGCAGAGGCAGCGGCAGATGTGATGTGCCGGAAGGCCGTACCGGCACTTCTCGCATCGCCCAACGCGGGCGAGCCGACGCTATCCGCAACGGTTTCCTACTCTTCTTTGGTTCTTTCGGTAAAGTCACGTAGAATGAGAATAAAATAATACATTAATAAAATAAAATAACACAATAAAATTCTCACGACGTTTCGGCCACAACACAAGTAGCCTTCATCAGGTGAAAGGACGAGACTGTCTGGAGGACAGCGCTACTCGTGCACCGCGAATTGTCGGTGAATCAATGGTGCTGAACTGCCGATGAAAGAAAGGAGGGGGTCCCCGATTAGTTCCTCAGTTTAGAAGGTCAAGGTGCAGTCCTGCAATGTTCTTGCTCATGCCACTGCCGGAGGAAGGGCCTCCTCAAGAAGGAGCTCTTGAGGTGTATTAGGCCTACACTTCCAGGATGCCCAGACATCGTGGAGGAGGTGGGCATACCTACATTTTATCCCAACGCATGCTTTATAGCTCATCGGAATCCTCCAGTATAAACAAATGTTCTGATTCTGATATACGGCCCATATATTTTAATTCTTGAAGCTGAAATTCAGCCAATTTGAGTGTAGAACTAAATTTAGTGGGGTTTCTTTTTTTGTGCAGTCATCGGTAACTGGGCTGAGGCCATCAATCGACTCGCTAAATTCGAGTCTCGTTTAACTTCACCGGTGCCAGATCAGTAGTGACGTCGGAGTGACCAGCCCTCCTTGCAAATGTGAGCCTAGAGCAGCGGATCCCACACTCGTTTGGCCCCGCAGGGCTACCCAGCCGATGCAAACATTACCGCGTGCCGCCCAGCTGCCCACCCCATGGTGAGAAAACGCAATCATTTATCTCTGTAAATTCCGGCAAGTAAAACACATTCCTGTGGAGGGAGCTGGTAGGAACGTTGGGTTGCTCGGTCAATGGCCAGGGTCAACGGCGGCGTGGTGTATTCCACAAATATGCCCGACTGTGAGGGCGGGCACAAGCCGACGTGAGTAGTTTAAACGTTGAGTTTTATAAGGGCACCACGGGGTGACCAGCCCCTCCCCACCCAGCCCCTCTCCACCCTACCCACCCAACCCCACCCTCCCCACCCAGCCCCTCCCCACCCTCCCCTCTCCACCCAGCCCCACCCCTCCCATTTTTGGATGCACGACGGACGGACAAAATAATCCCCTGTGGGCTGGTGTAACCAGGAGGTTCCTACCAGTAAAAATATATATATTATGCACATCAAAACTCTATTAAAGCAGCAGTTTGTTTAGGAGGAGAGGGGGGGGGGCATTTAGATCTTAGGGGTATGGTAGTTTCATCAGGGTAGTTTACCTAACTCAATTTTTACTTTTTTTACCATTTTTCTTTTGTGATGTCTCCCTTGCATTTGTGGATGGGGCATTGTGTAGTTATACATTGTTACGGTCTCTGTTCTGGATGACCACAGTCGCACCACTACTGAAGAGGTTTAAATTTTCCATGTGTGCATCAGGTATCATCCGCATCTGCTGCCATGGTTTGTACGGATGCGGTAGTTTAGACAACTAATAATAATTAATAGAAAATTCAACACAGTAAAAACAACATGGCTTTAGAAGAAAAAAATATAATAGGTGACGTTTTAGGTAATGGCTTCATAACATATAAATCACTCTAAACTATGAAAAACTGTTTTTATTTTACCAGGTAATGCCCAATGAGCTATGAATACTCTTTGTTTCAGAAGCAACCTGGCTATCACAAATAATAGCTCAACGAAAGTGACTCATTACGTGGACATTTTTTTTGAAGAGAAATACTCTAAAACGCACGTTGTTGATTCTAAAATGTGGAGGGGAAAAAAAACATTGATTGGTGTCTGAAACAAAAGGGTACAATAAACGTGTCACTGTTGATTTGAAGCTTTCGTGACTGCAGGAATCCATACTCTTTGGTTCTTTCGGTAAAGTCACGTAGGTAGAAATAAAAAAATAAAAAAATCGCGACGTTTCGGGCGCAACACAAGCGTCCGTCATCAGGTGGGAAAGCATGATGAAGGAGGCTTGTGTTGCGCCCGAAACGTCGTGATTTATTTTATTTTATACCTACGTGACTTTACCGAAAGAACCAAAGAGTACGTTGTCATTGTTGTCGGGGGGCTCAACCTGCGTTTGCATCACAGCCACCGCAAACCCCCACTGGGGACGACACTCTTGAGAACCACTGGCCTACAGAGATGTGCTTGGTGGAATAAACTGAAGAGCAGATAGAGTTCCCCGGAGCCTGCACACGAGCACCGGTAACACTGCTGGCGATGCGTAACGTAGCAGTGTCGCCGTGCGCGGAAGTAATGCAGAACGCATTGTGAACCTTTCATGGAATGTGACAACTTCCCTTTTAGTAAAACAAAATCAATACCCCACCCCCCCTTGCGTTCTCACAACTAGAAACTTGGGGTTTTCAGTTTCCCCAGTGGGGTTTATAAGAGGGGCAGTTTAGGTAATTTCCCGATTATTACAAAGGAATCCGTGTATCTACGTATGCGTGTGCGCATGTTGAACTTCTTTCGCACCGTACTTATCCAACCATGCTAATCGGAGGTGCGGGGGAGAGGATCGGAGGTGCACGTACTCTGGATGAATACACGCACGTCTACTTCCCTTTGGCCAATGCAGCTGGATGAGGGCCTCCCCCTGCCATGCGGGTCATGGTGAGGCGCCTGGGTGAAGGGTAATTTGTCCATACTTAACCTCTCTCTCTTTCATGACCATACATCACTACAATGGTCCATGTGGGTTTGGCGAAGGAGGAGAGCAGACACGTGTGTGCGGAGAAGTATGGTACAAACCTATAGCCCATATTTTCAACCTGTCCATCAAAGAAGCATCAGTACCTCGAGAATGGAAACATTCCTATGTTCGTCCACTTCACAAAGGGGGCCCTAAAGATTATCCAAATAACTACCGACCTATCTCAATTTTGTCCCCATTAATCAAAATTTTTGAAAAATGATTGACCTACGAAATTAGCAGTTTCCTGTCCAACCACAATCTATTACATCGAAACCAATCTGGGTTCCCGAAAAAAATACAGCACCACATCTGCTGCATTAGACTCTCTGAATCACATTTACAGTAGCCTTGATAATAAGCAGTACTGTACCTATCTTTTTCTAGACCTGTCCAAAGCTGTTGATACAGTAGACCACAATACCCTGCTTAGTAAACTAAGTTGGCTCCGTTTCTCCAAACACGCAGTAGAATGGTTAAAAAATTACCTCTCTTCTCGCACCCAAACTGTATTCATAGATGGTTGGAGGTCAAACAGTGTTAAGATAACAAAAGGGGTTCCACAGGGTTTCATCCTCAGCCCCCTCTTGTTCTCTTTTTATGTCAATGACTTGGGCACTGACCTGGATCATTCCAGGGTAAATCTGTTTGCAGATGACACGATACTGATTACTGCCTGCTGCTCTCCGGATGACGTGATTGCTAAGCTCCAGGGTGATTTCAACAAACTACAACATCAGCTAGTTGCTCTTAAACTAGTCCTGAATACCTCCAAAACCAAGGTGCTATGCTTCTCACCAGGACTAAAGCAGGAAGTTATTTTTCCCCAATTATATTCTTTAAATAATCATCAAATAGAGCAAGTCAAGATCTATAAGTATCTTGGGGTCATCTTTGATTCAAAACTGAATTTTCAAGATCACATTGATTATATTGGTAAAAAGACAAAAATATAAATTGGTTTTCTGTATCGACACAAGCACTGCTTCCCCCCTATGTTCCGCTTGGAATTGATAAAAGCTACCATACTTCCTCTACTTGATTACTGTGACATCGTATATAAATCAGCCCCCAGTACTATACTGAAGAAGCTTGACTCAATTTATCACTCGGCCTTAAGATTTGCATTGAACTGCCCATATAGGACTCACCACTGCGATCTCTACATTGGGTCAAACTTAACTTATCTTAATGATCGACGGCTTGTGCATCAGATCTTATTTATTCACAATATACTTACAAAAAAATCAGCAGACTACCTGCTGGATCTCCTCACTGTTTCGACGAACAAATGTGACCTAAGGTCTTCGCTCATTTACCAGCTTCACATTCCTTATTGCCGTACAAATACTGGAGGAAGGGCCTTTTCTATTGATGCCCCCAAGGGTCTGGAATGCTATCGCCAATAAACTGCAACTTGGATCACTACCTGTGAGATATTCACTCAAAACTGCTCTAGAGGAGTTGTACACCCCTAGCTGCCACTGCTATTCAGAATGGCCTGAAATCAAATGTATCATTCCGGATGACCGCTGCAAAGTATGATCTTGAGTTTTGATTATAGTGTGCTGATCTTTAATGTTGTATTGAAAAATGTTGATACTGCTACTAATACTCCTGCTATTATGGAGTGACTCATGCAGCCAAAGTTTGGTCTACATGTTATGTATATCGTTTATTGTTACATTTGAATCACAGTTCCTACGATCACTGTTGTTACATTGCTTTTATCGCTTTATTTTGGTGATTTTCAAAACGTTTTTGGTTTAGCCATGTTTGTTTGTTGTAGTACAGAGTTAGGCTGATAACTTTAATCAAAATTGTCTTATGGTTGTTATTGTTTGACTTGCATCCCACTGGGATTTTTTCACACAGCGTTGAAACGCGGTGTTTTGTCTGGAAGACTTTTGCTGTGTTTTTCCTGGACTTTTCTGTTGCGTGTAGTCACTTTAAGATATTTCTTGTTCATGTTTTTTGTTTTGTTGCGGGTTGCACCCGAGTCAAGAGCCGCATGGCTCACAAGGTTATACCTAATAAATGAAACTG